TGCACAAAATTTAGATTTTTTTTATTGAAAGATATTACTATTATGTGAAATTAATACTAACTTTAAATGGTGTGCTCATAAAATCATATAAACAATCTCCCTCATAAAATAAAGGACATAATATCCATTTTGGTAACTCCTGGTTGACAAGGTACTTGAAAATAAAACTGAGTGGGTTGGTAAACATTTATCTAAACAAATTTAGCATAAAAGAATATATTTTATACTTATTAGTAATGACACTTGATTTATCTTTTTATTCTTATCAATTGCAGTCATTTCCCTAAATTAAACAAAAAAATATAGTAAAAAAATAGTAATTATGAAGAAATACAATATAATCTAATTATCACTTATTAATAACATGTAATATCTCTTTATTAAATTGGCAATATCATGTTTAGGCATCACCGTTATTGAGTAGAGTTAAATAAATATGGTGTCCGAGAATTAGTATCAATTACAATAAGCTGTCAGTGATACCTGTAAAATAATTGGCATGATATAAAAATAATAGGCATGATATTAGATTTCATAAATGATACAATTAGTTCTATAAATAAAACTTACGTAGAATTATAAGGTACCAAAAAATAATCGACCCATTTTTGCATGTATTAACCCATATGACAAGAATGAGTAACGATAGTGCCATTCTCATGACTAATTAAATTTAGGTCAACGAATTTGAATTTATGAATCATTTGTCGTGTCTTTATCTATCTGTATAAGAGGTTGTATGATAACAATCAACAGTACCATTTAGTAATACACTCTAATATAGAATAATTGATATTAACTTTGGATATTTAAATTAATTGATAAGCTGACCTCATGTAGGCAACAATATTAGAAGCTGATATTTCATCCAAGGTACAAAATAACTCAATTTCTGGCCTTTTAATGTAAGACATGGATGAATGATCAAATAACCTATACTCTCCTTTAATGGCAATGATGTTTTCTTCGGATAAATGATCAAGTGCATAATTAGATAATACATTAATGGTAGACTCTACAGGGATTATCATCTAAGTCTGAACATCTTGTTACAATATATTACAAAATATAAGTATTAAAACCAATTCAAAAAATATAAAATAAAATAAATATTGAATGAATAAATAAAATGAAAAAAATGATTATTACCAAAGTTTGGGTTTGCTGTAAGACTTGATTCATAAAAGCATTTCTCTGCTGGATGTCGGTAATAGATTACCCTCGAGGCGTGTTAGGCTTTATTGCTACTAACATTGCCTCTAAAGCTACGAGTCATTGCTATTGATCATGCAAAGACATTGCTCTTGCTCATCAAGTCTTTGTTGTTGTTGCTGAATGATTATTTCATATTTTACATTTTTTGTTGGAAGGGGTTTGGGTTGATTACTGAAGAACTATAATGGTGACACAAATCTACCAACCCTTTAAACTTGACCATGTCTTTTTTTGGATTTTAATACTAAAGACAATGGATCTTCTCCATAACCGATTGACAGTTCACCGAATTCATATCTTATAGCAAATTCATCTTGAAACACAAAAATATTATGCGTAACTAACCATATGCAATATATAGTCATGCATATAAGCACAAATTTATCATATGTGATAAATTAATGAATTATACTTACAATTTTTTTAGCCATTGCTTTAGTTGCTTCATCTACAAATGATCTATCCTTACACATATTTTTTTTTCACACATCCCATATAGAAATTTCGATTCTATAACTAAATGATTCCTAAAAAATTAAGGTGATATAAGAAATAGAATTTATATTCACATGTTCATAAATATTCATATATGAGTATAAAACAAGCATGTGAATACTTATAAGATCATACTTGACATTTGCATAATCTTTTCTTGATGTTTGATGGTGATATACTTATTTGACCTGAATTTTTTTTGTTGTTTTTTGATTTTTTGAAAAAAAAGGTAAACCATTTATTAAGATATCGAATATATTAAACAAAATATTATAAACAATTAACAAATTGGGTATGCATACATAAATTTTATTTGATAGACAATTTCAAACAAATAGCTACCACTCTTCATAATTGATAACATCTGTATATGACGATGGAAGATTAGCCAACAATTCAGAATTATCAGCAAATAGTAAAATATATTAGGTTATCAATCTACTCTTAAAATCTCTGAATGCTTTTCTAACCAATTGTAACACAAGCTTTTTATACTTAGTTAGGATATCAAACTGTTCCTAAAAATTTAAAATAATTAGTATCAACACATTAATTCGATTCAAATTCCAAACTAACAAAAATTTGGATATTATTAAATAAACATATAACGACCAACTCCTATATATGATCTTTTTTTATTATTAGGAACCATTTGCAAATTATGGTACATAATAGAAATACTAGACAATAGCTCTAATGTGGCTAGTTAACTTTGCACCTCTATCCAATACAAACTGTGTACTTTGATTGAATTTGATGTAAATTTTCATCCCAGTCACTTTAATTTGCTTACCATATCCCCTTGATATATTTTTTTTCATTACGGGTATGTCTTCTTCACGTTTAGTAAAAGGAGACATATATTTTTTGGATTGTATAATACTTACGATTTTGATCAAAATTATAAAAAATACATCAAATTATTTCTCTATATATCACACATAGTAAAAACAACCAATATCCACTACAGTAAATAAACCAATAAAACATAACAAAACCAATAATGTTATATGGGTACAAGCCATATTATATTTTATCAAATCGTAAGAGTTACATGCAAAACAAATGAGTACAAATATAACAACTATTTTTCACAAAACCATTCAGCAAACCAAAATACTCAAACTAAACAACAAAGAAAAAATCATGCATGCAATGAAGTAAGGTTGTACGAGGTAAGTGACAGTGGTAAATGCTTATAAAAATAAAAATAAAATATATATAGTAAGGAAAGAGAAAAATGACATATATAAAAGATTATAAATAGTACAAAAAGGATAAAATATGCACATACTAGTAAAAATGAGGTGCGATGATGTTAAGTGGTTGACAGTCGACGATCAACGGTGACGAGAGAGATGAAGAAACCAAAATGCAAAGTAAATAATTTGATGGGTTTAGGGAAATACATGCATTGCAGCTTTTTATCATTCAATTGTATTAGTCATTTAGTTTTTCAAGGTTCAAGAACAAAGAATGAATCTTTTAAAATGATCAATTAAGGCATTTGTAAACACAATCGCCTTAATTGATCTATTTTAAAAATAATTTTTAGGTCAATTAAGACGTTTGTGAACAGAAACACCTTAGTTGATCCAATTTATATATATTATAAAAGATAATCATATAAAGCTTTTCTGTACACAAATATCTTAATTGATCAGTTATAAAAAAATAAAAAAATAAAGTAAAGTATTTGTGTACAAAAACGTCTTAAATGATTGATCAATTAAGGCATTATAAGAAAAATAAAAAGATCATTTAAGACATTTATGTACATAAACACCTTAATTAATTAGTTATAAAAAAACAAAAAGATCAATTAAGTATTTGTGTACAGAAACACCTTAAATGATTGATCAATTAAAACGTTATAAAAAAAAAGATCATTTAATGTATTTTTGCACATAAACATCTTAATTGATTAGTTATAAAAAAAAAGTCAATTAAGGTGTTTATATACAGAAATCTCTTAAATGATTAAACAATTAAGACGTTAAAAAAAAAATAAAAAGATTGTTCAAGGGATTTGTGTACAGAAACACTATAAATTCTTGATCAATTAAGGGGTTTGTTAAACATTTTAAATGATTTTTTACAAAATTTATAAAGAAATTAATTTGTATGAAGGATAAATTAAGGCATTTGTGTAAACAAACCTTAATTTATTCTTTTTATAATGATCTTTTGCAAATTTTATAAAGGATCGATAACACCTTAATTGATCCTTTTTATAAATTAAAAACAAGATCAATTAAGATATTTGGTTACACAAAACGTCTTAATTGATCATTTTTTTCAATATTTTTTCTTATCAATTAAGGCATTAATTTTTGAAAAGTCTTCATTAATGATGTTTTATAAATAAAAATAATAATTAATTAAACTGTTTATTTTTTATTATTAAATATATCATTTATTATTTGAATATTTATTATTAATAAAACAAAATAAAAAATTATCATCATCAAAGAAATTATGATAATTATATAAAAATAATATATATAAAATTTTTTCAATGAAACAAATGAATCTAAATATAAAATATTTTAAAAATAAAAAATTTAAATATTATATTTTTTAAAAATCAAAATACTTTTTAAAATTTAAAATTTTATAAACCAAACATCACAAAACATACGAGACTTTGAATTTTGATGCAATTAACGGGGATGTAACCATCTCTCTTTGTTGAAGCAACAATTTCAATCTCTACCAGTAGCGTTCAACTGCATCAGAGCCGGGCCAATGGGCCATAGTCTATCTGTAGCTACATTCGCTTTAGCCGAAACCACCCTCGGTAAGCAGGCAGGTTGTCCATCCTTCAGCGTTACCAATATCATTAAAATTTTTATCTGCTTTTCCACTTTTGGCTTAATAATAATAGATAAATAAAATTTCCAAATTCCTACTTACAAATGCACATGCATTCTTCGTTTTCTATTTTATTTGGATCCAGCTAATTTATTGATTAAGAATATATAATTGAATATTATATTAAGAAAATTTTGTATTTAATACATTATTTTAATCAAATTTAGATCCACACTACCATTCACTTGCAGGCAAATAAAAAAAATAATGAAATTCAAATATTTCTAAAAATTAGAAAAATACTTAAAAATTTGGGTTTTTTTTCCAATAAAACAGTCGAAAAAAATTATAGAGGCGGGGTATTACTTTAACTTCAAATTTCAAAATACGAGGACATGGGAGGGCAAAAAGATAATTTCATATAAAGATGTCGGTGTCTGGGAGTTAATAATTGCGTAACGCGATGACGTGGGGCACATTGTCCATCTCGAGGGCCAAGGCTGCGAATTTGGCCAAAAACGAAAACTCGGGAGCCGTGAATCGTTCACTAACTCAGTGCCCCACAGTTGTAAAGAAAATGGAGTAGGGTCACATGACCAACCACCTGCCTCTTTTCCGTAATTGCTATCATCTTGCAAGGGCCATTTCAAAATTCCCGTCCCTTCCTTTTTTTTTTTTGTCCTTGTCCTCGCATGGTAACCGAAACTCCGCACAATTAACAGTTTTTCGGTCCAAATTTTAAAAGGGAAAAAAAAAGTCTCTCCCTCTCTCTCTCTAATCTAATCTTTGAGAATCCGAATTAGAAAGAGATTCCGCGATTTGAGCATTTGGAGGCGGAAAAAGAGAGCATTAAATCCCAAAAGAGAGCGAATAAGCAAAGTGCGAAAGAGTGAGGAAGTTATTTTGAAACGGAATTGAATCGTTGGCTTTCGAAGCTGAAAGAGGGAGCGAAAAAAGAGAGTAGGAGTTAGGGTTTTCTGGTGTTTGGAAAGATTCGAATCGAGAGAGGAAGAGAGGGGTTAGGGTTTTCAGGGTGAAGATGACGGAGGTGATATTACATATATACGATGTGACGAACAGTGGATCGGATAAGACGAACAACACCATTGTTCAAATCAACAAGATCTTCAAGGATGGAATCGGCCTCGGCGGCATCTTCCACAGCGCTGTTCAGGTCCCTTCTTTCTCACTCTCTTTTTGAATTTTGCATTTCTATTGCATTCTTTCATGTTGTGCTTACATGAGATCTAGGTTTTCTGGTTAGAAATTTGGGCTCTGTGTTGAATTTCTCGGGTTTTACTTGTTTAATTAAGTTGCAAATGTTTAAATGGCAATTGTAAATAAGCTCTGACGTTTTGGTTGGTGCATTCAAGTGTTGCTGTATAATGTAGATAAAGATTTATCAAAGAAAGTGAGGGGGGCCTTAAATCTTTATTTTGCTTAAAAGGAGTAGTTTCAACTTTCAAGGTAGCTGGGAAAGAAAAAGAGAATACTACAAAGAAGGAATTGATGGTTACTCTGCAGAGTAAAAGCTTATAATTCACTGTTTCTTTTGTAGCAGTAGAATCGCATTGTTGTTTCTAAGTAACCTGACATTGATTGTTAGTTGTTTCTTGTTAGTGTATTTTATGTTATTTTAATATATCAAAGTTTAGCTAAAGATTTATGAGAGATTTTGGAGTGTCCTCGGCTGTGGCAAGGTTTTGGAGTGTACTCGGCTGTGGCCAAAAGTTTTATAGAGCTGAGGACAATGGTAGTCTTCTACAAAGTTTTAAGTGAAAGCTCTAGCTTTTTTTACCATAGAGGATTTTGTAACTAGATGTTAGGTCTTCGTGGATGATATATATCTATTTCTAGTTTTTTTTTTTTTGCAAGAATTTATAGAACATTTACCACTATATTACTTTATATTGGAGAATCTTGCAACTAAATCATGTTACTAGGGGAAGGCAAATATAACAGTTTCTCTTTTGATTTCTTGTAGTTATGGGTACTGACAACGGTTGTCTTCACTTTTGAGCAATTTAGATTCTGTTTTGTCATTAATCTTGTTGCTCATCCTTTACATGTTCACCTTTGTTTTCTAGTGTAATTTTGTTTATACCATACCAGTAATACATTGGATCATTATGCATGTGTTTATATCTAACTATTTTTTAATGAATATCATATGACATGTTAATTCTCCTAAGTGAACTTTTTCAAACAGTATTTATGCAGTTAGACATTTGGCATCTGAAGAATGAGTATTAATTTTGGTTGTCAACTTCTCACAACTCTTTCTTTGTCGTAAATTTGTTATTGATGCCATTTTTTTGTCAACTGTAATAACTTTATTGCCCTATTGACAGGTATATGGAGAAGATGAATGGTCTTTTGGCTTCTGTGAGCAAGGGTCTGGGGTTTTTAGTTGTCCGTCAGGCAAAAATCCAATGTATACATACCGTGAGTCCGTGGTCCTTGGAAGAACTAGCTTTTCAATATTCAAGGTAAACCAGATCGTACAGGAACTAAGTAGAGAATGGCCTGGAAGTTCCTATGACTTGTTATCCAAAAATTGCAACCACTTCTGTGATGAGTTCTGTGAAAGTCTTGGTGTCCAAAAGCTTCCAGGTAAACTTAAGTGTTGTATTCTTTTAGGTGGATTGAACAGATGTAGGTATCTCTAGTGATTACTGCTTCGTCTATCTCTATAACTTTGTATCCTGCTGGTAGATCACCAAGTTCTTTAATATAGCTTTTTAGTTGAATTTCCGGGGAAAGACCTCTTTTCATACCAATTTTTTTCTTTTAATAATGGCATTCTTCTGTCATCGGATACAATTGTTCAATGAACAGTAAGTACGATCTGAACAGAATTATGTGCCTCACCTCATGAAACTTAGGTCTGAGTTGCTTGATGTAGTGGTGGAATATTATGGTTCATGCCAACTGTTAGCATGTGAGTGCTAATACGAGTTGAGTGCTTTGCTGCTTCTGTTCTATCATCCATGTGCTTTGGTGATAAACCTTAATATCTGAAAGAAAACTATTTTAGGGTTTGGCTTGGCTACCTACCTTATTTGTAGTGTTAGTGTGCGCAGGCCAGAGGAAATCATATTAATTTAAGTTCACTTGGTATGCAGTCCCATGGCTGGCAGTATTTTGAGGAGATAAAATGTGTCAGTAAGAGTGAATAGGGCATGTCTTTTGTCGGTGTCATTCAACTTACAGTGGCTTTTTTGTTCTTACAATTTTTGTAACAGGTTGGGTTAATCGTTTTGCCAATGCTGGTGATGCTGCAATAGAAATAGCAGAAAACACTGCCTTCCGGGTGAGATTTCCTTTAGTTCGTGAATGTCATAATCTGCAGAAAATCTCTACCTTTATATGACTAAACCAGCAACACCTGCAAATATATAATCATTTCACCATTACATAAAAAGGTTTTTTTGTACTTTGCATGTAGATGCTTGCATTTGTGCTGTTAGGCATGCACTATTAAGCTTTATTCCTAACATCACTTGGTCTTCTTTCTATATATCACTTGATTTGAGTTTGAGCGTTGCTTCAGTTGTTATTAGGACTGTTTGTCTATTTTAAAAGCTTCTTGTTCTAATATCTTGTTGCAGGTGTTTACCTTGAAACTTTGTGAAACTAGAAAAACATGTTTATTATCTTCTTCTTTATTGTGAACTACATTATTATCCTGATGTTGCAAGGATAGAAGATACTTACAAACTAAAATTTGCATTAATGTTCTTTTCTGCTTGTTTTTCACCCTTCATGCTATCTGGTCTTGTGTTTATGTTAAAATTTGCATAAAAAATTGCCGTGAAACTCTGGGCAAATTATCAGGCTGAAATTGTGAAATGTCCTAAAACTTAGAAGGTTAAACCCTTGATATGGTCAGTGCTTAAAATTGTAGCGTTGATTATTGCAGTTGAGACAAGCCAAGACTGAGATAGTATCAGCCAGCAAAGTGGCGTATCGTTTCCTTGTGGGTGTTACATCCGGTTCTAGTGGTGGTAATGATTCCCCTGGCAATCAAAACAGAGGAAGCCCTAGATTTCAAGCAGCTTGGTTTAAAAATATCATCACTACTGGTGCCAAACCATCTAGCCGTTCTGAAATTGAGACTCAGAATGGCAATGTTCTTCAGCAGCATCAGCCCCAGAATTCTGCAGAGACAATTCAAAAAAATTTTCAAGATTCAAAAAGACCATCGAGACAGAATTCAGAAGATATGGGACGACCATTGCAACAGAATTCACAAGATTCAGAACAATCACTGTGACAGAATTCATGGCATGATATTTGACGGAAATGTTTTCTGGAAGCATCCTTTGTTGTGTACTACTTGGAACTCTGCATAGCCAATCAAGAAGATATTCATTGTGTATCAATGTAAAATGTTCATTTGTTGTCCCAAACTGAAAATTTCGAACTGTTTTCTTCCAACAAAATGTGTGCATTTTGGAAAAAGAACCAAAGATGCTGTAAGGTCAGTCAAATATGATTTTGCAATATAACTTCCCCATATCTTCTAGTGTTAAAGAGATAATTCTAAGTCGTTTGAATCTAATGTGTATGAAAAGGGATATGGCTGGTTGGTATGTAGGGCAAACCTTTTTACCACCGTGTATTTAGCTTCTTCCTGCAGCTTAAAGTGCAAATGCAAACAAGTAATCGACACTTGATTTTTCATGAGCAATATATGTCTTCAAAACTTTTGTAATTCCTTTTGAATTTTTTTTCAGTGGAGCTCAAAGGAACTAATTCTTAAAAGATCTATCAATTTAAATGTCAACTATGTTCTATGGTAATTTTTCTGATTCTGTTTTATGTTTGTCATGCAATGTATTTTAAGCAAATTTTCTTGAAGTTAGGAAATTCTTATTCACTACATGATAAAATTTTTCCTTATATTTAATTTTATTACCGAATTTAGTAATCATTTGAAAAAAAAAATGCATTAGAGGATCATGAACTCCTAGACTTAAGTATTATGGTTTTTTTTTTTTTTTTTAGTACTCCAAGAGTTGATTTTACTTTCTTTTGGTGCTTGATAGCATTTTTACTATCAGGCTTCATATTATCTACAATTTTTTGACTACAATACTACCATATTTTTGCAATTGGTATAATTACATTATGAATCAGAATAAAGCATTATAAAGAAGATAAAGGTGGAGTGATTGGATAGTTTTGCTTGATGTGAGAATCTATATTTCTACTACTAATATCATTTATTTGAGATCGTTTTGGCTCAAGAATAATGTTGAATTATCTTTGTAATTTTGAGGCGTCTCTGTTCCATATGTATACATAGTTTTTGGACTTCAAAATTTATGGTTGAGAGGTGTTTCTCAAAATGCCACCTCTTTGTATATCATAAGGTCTTAGTTGTTCACATCACAGTACAAGTCATTTTGCGATAATTAACGTAGCAGGGTGTAAGAGATTGAAGTTTGATTTAGATGCTTATGTCCGAACAAAGTCTTGAAATTGTTATTTGCTTTGAACCAAAATTTCATTCCAAAATATTTGCAAACGCACTGAAATTCTGTTATAAACTTATAATTCGAAAGGTAAATTTTTAATGTATTTTCAAAGTTAATTTTTCTTTTCACATACGAATGATTCTTGTTTAATGATAAAATTAACCCGCATTGACGCGAGGGCAACTAACCTAGTTTACCATTAATTTTGGAAAAAGTCAAACGTTAATGTTTAAATTATTCAAGTTAATGAAATACTCCCCCGTACAAAAGGAAAAAGTATAATTGAATACTCTCCAGTGACATGTAAAGAAGGCAAAATTCAGCGTAAGGATCTACACTCGTCAATTGCATTTTAGATTCAGGAGCGGGCAATTGTTTTAGACTAATTTCTTCAGGTTCTCATTGAGGAAAAAATGGGTCCTATGGCGGAGGCAATGAAAATGGTACTGAGAATAGTCAACAGATTATTAAGTACAAGACCATCCAAGCATGACAAGCAAGGTTAACTTGAATGAACAAAAAAAGAAATCATAAATTATTCATCAACCCGCTAAATCACCTGTGTCCAATGTTATAAGATTCAAACATCTGTTTTAATAAATTGAAATGGTGAGAGCAAGTTCATTCATGCCTCGAAAAAGTACCAACAAAATCATTCATGTTCGGGAAAAAGAAATGGGGAGCAAATCACTATCAAGATACAGACATTTAATAAATGGTAAACACGAGAGAGGACAGTGCAACGATGTTTAATACCTGAAGAAGCAACAAAACAGACAACTGACAGAGTCATGACAATATATATATATACAGAGCCATTATTCAGAATTTTGAGCAAAGACTCCAAGCGACATGGCAACATAACAACAAAGTGCTTGTCTAGCCTCTCAACATCCCGTTGAGGACAATTGTGTCTACCTCTGCATCCTCTGTAATCTGGAGTGCTGAAACAGCCTGTGCAGCAATAAGACCAGCTGAAAGTTCTGCACTGCCCCAAATTCCATCCTCAAAGTATGATGCATGTAGATCCCTTCCATAAGCTCCATATGACAATGACCAATCACTGTTTCCCAACTCAGCCCACTCGCATCCAGCTTTATATGTATTGGAGACCCAACCTTCATAGTTTGGGTGAGCTTGATGAGGAAGGCAAGCTTTACCTCCACCCATAAACAGATCAAAATTGTCGGTATAATCCCAATGGTTGAGCCCCTCTTCCTTGTTTAGCATAATCTTACACGAATCATCTTTGTCTTCACCAAGTAGGACATGCAAAGCAACAGCTTCAGCAATTGCAGCACCTTCCTCGTCAAGCCTCTGCTGTTCTTCCTTCTTTTTCTGTTTCTTTTTTTCTAGTTCAGAACGGATGGCTGCAGAAGTAGCAAGGGCTTTCTCCAAGCGCCTCTTTTTCTTCTCAGCCTGTTTAATACGATCCAACTCATCCTTCACCTGCTTCTTTTTCGCTTTCCTCACTACGGTTTGCACTTTATCGCATGCCTTGTTATCCATGAAAACTAAAAAGCTTTAAACCCAGACTTCTGTTTGTTCAAATTTTTTTCTTTGACAAGGTTCCTCTAAATTGTATACATTTCCCTATAAAGCTGTTTTTTCCCCTTATAACTTTTTTTCTTAAAAAAAACTTTTGATGCTACCTATTTCTAATTACTTCTCTTATTGAGAACTAATATAATTCTTTGACACCAAGACTACACCCACTCAGGTCTGTAGGAATATCTCATCTTACGGACAGTGCAATCCCAAACAGAAACAACAGGGGAACACAAAAGAGCACAATGGTAAGCATTCACAGGCCCATCCCTTGGCAGCATCCTTCCTAATTTCCCACAACCCTTGCATTTACCCATTTTATGAACACTGAAAGACCCAATAAGCTTATCCCTGTCGAAAAATCAGTAACTATAGTACAGCTCAAACAATTCACATGGCCTTCCCCGCTGCAGTGAAAGAGGAAGAACATTTGAGTCATTAAAACATCAAAGCAAATGTCATTACAAATTATTTCGACATACATGCACAGTCAAAGAGGCAGATAACATAGACAAAAATCTCTTTGATAATTAAAATCTCAAGCATAAAACTTCATATAAGAACCAATAAATTTAACTTAAAATAATTCACTCCATAAAACTATCAAGAACAGAGAGGGACAATTAGATAACTACACCTAGTGGGTCATAGACTCATGGTGACTTAAATGTAAAAAGCTTTGGAACTACAGGATAAGCAATGCATCAATGTTCACGTTAATGGTGAGACAAATTACTAGAAGCATATAAAGATTAAGCATACAACAATATCGATGACCAAATTAAAATGGAAAAGTAAGAGCACCATTAATGGAAATATAGTATAACCAAGCGAGATGAACCCAATTCCAGAGACCTAACTGATCCCATAGTTTAGTAAATCTTTGCAAATGGACTAAATTAACTAAAAGCAATAAGAACAAATCATCCTAGCACTATCTGATTACTCAATTATTCAAGTAGGAAAATGTGTAAAACAAAAACCCATCCGCTAAAACATCAGCCAATTTAACCCATCGCGAAAAAAGGGCTGAAGAGGATAGGACAGCTTTATTTAATTAATATAAAGTTTCTTACTTCTACCATGTTGTATCCAATCTCAATCTCAATTTCAATTTCCATTTTCCTTTCCCTTTCCTCAATTTTCCCGCAAACCAAACAGAATTTGCAACTGGATCTGTCCTATGGATTGTAATAAACCCTAAATTTAGACGTAATTTGCACAGTGCCACTATTAAAATTACGTGGTCCACTCTACCAAGATGTAAATATTCCACATTTAATCAAAATAAATCACTTTAAAACACTAATCAGCTTCGGATCCAAATACCAACTAATCAAAACCACAAAAATGAGACCCAAAAAAAAAAATTCAAACAATAATTAAAACAAAAATCCACCAAGAAAACAAAAGAAAATTTAGATGAATCTGACCTTATCAAGAATGTTAAGAGGGGAAAATAGATCTCCACCACTCCTTTTAGCAGTGAAAAACTGGGAAGCCAGAAGAGAAGAGTAGCAACTTATGGTATGGGTTTGGATCTGGAGAAAGTCAGAGAGAAAGAGAAAATAAGGGAAACAGAGGGATAAAATAACTGAGCGGACGTCAGAGAGTGGAGAAGAAGGGACGGGTAATGGTTATCTTTTCCCAATGGGAGTCCGAAACGTGGCAGATGAATTTTGACGGTAAATCTAGAATATCTGACTTTTCCTATTTGGTTGTTTTCTGGATTGGGAAACTGTGGAGTGTGCGCTGTCACGGCTGATGTCACGCCACTTGGCAACTAGTTCGTGAGGGATCGGCCCTGATCATTGTGGGCCAGCTTGGACCATATAATAAGAGTCGTACGATCAGATTTCTCCCATTTCGACGGATGGGATTGTAGATCTGAGCCGAACTACGACAGGGAAAAGGGGAAGTTTCGTAATGAACAACTCCAAGGGTAAAACCGTCAAGATTTACGAAAAGTTTGAAAAGACTAAATTGCTCCAAAGTACAAAGAGAAACTGGAGTATAAAAGCCCATAAAATTTGAAGACTGAGCCCCAAAGCCCAAATACCTTTCCTTAGTCTGATTGCTCGCTTTCCTCTTCTCCAATACCAATGATTTTCTTCCTAAAACGCTGAAAGCAATGCTGTCTCTGCAACTCTTCTGCGCAAACCCTAAACCCACTTTTAGGAGCCCTTCATTTGAACCCCTTTTCAATCCAAAATCCCTAAAACCTTCAAAACTCTACCAAAAATCAAAGCCCAGCCCCATTTATTCAGTCCTTCAATGGAATAGAACGCCTGAGCTGGCAGGCGAGACCCCCCGCGTGGTAGTTATAACATCCGGAAAAGGCGGGGTCGGTAAAACCACCACCACCGCCAATGTAGGACTTTCTTTAGCACGCCTCGGATTCTCTGTAGTGGCCATCGACGCCGACGTTGGCCTTCGAAACCTAGACCTCCTCTTAGGTCTGGAGAACCGTGTGAACTACACGGTCGTCGAGGTCCTCAACGGCGATTGCCGACTGGACCAGGCATTGGTTCGAGACAAGCGTTGGTCAAACTTCGAATTGCTTTGCATTTCCAAGCCCAGATCGAAACTCCCCATCGGATTCGGTGGGAAAGCGTTGGTTTGGCTGGTCGACGCTCTGAAAGCGCGTGAAGAAGGGTCTCCGGATTTCATACTAATAGATTGTCCCGCGGGGATTGATGCAGGGTTTATAACGGCAATAACGCCAGCAAACGAGGCGGTTTTGGTGACGACCCCGGATATAACTAGCTTAAGAGATGCGGATAGAGTGACGGGGCTGTTAGAATGTGATGGGATAAGGGATATAAAGATGATAGTGAACAGAGTGAGGACGGATATGATAAAGGGAGAAGATATGATGTCGGTTTTGGATGTGCAAGAGATGTTGGGGTTGGCATTGTTAGGTGTGATTCCTGAGGATTCCGAGGTTATCAGAAGCACTAATAGAGGGTATCCGCTGGTTCTGAATAAGCCGCCCACGCTTGCTGGATTAGCGTTTGAGCAGGCGGCTTGGAGGCTTGTTGAGCAGGATAGTATGAAGGCCGTTATGGTTGAGGAGGAGCCCAAAAAACGAGGGTTTTTCTCATTTTTTGGAGGGTAGGGACACGGGGGGAGCTTGTTGATTGGGCGTTTGGGTAGGGGACTGTGGAGTTGATCTTTGCCAAGGACTGAGCAGCTATGTACAGTGAGTAAAGCTTGGTTCCCATTTGATTCTTGCTAGTGATTTAGAAGTTTCTTTTGTTAGATAGCTAGGCTTGTTGGTTTTGGTTTTTGGGGGATGTTTGAAATTTTGTTGGTGTGAATATATTATTGTTTTTTAATTTTCTATACCTATTGAGTTGAAGCATTTAATTGTTCAAACTCTTGACTCTGGTCAATGAATCAAAGTAATTTGACTGTGATAGATTCTTCTTTTTTGCTTGTTTTCAGACGATTCATATGTTTCTAGAATTTGGTGAATTCATGGCGGCTTTTGTTTTTTTTGATGAACTGAATTCATCGCATTCAGTATCTGAACTTGCTCTTATATGATGCGTTGAGATACAGATGAATAGATGATTCAAATTCTAACTAATCATTGACCGTGTTAGAATCAGACGCAGCAAATTATGATTATAGAGTAATGCCCGAGAGAATGCATTCCTTTCAGTATGCTGATTCAGCTCTTGCTTTTGCCCATAAAACTCATCTCTGTTCTGAGCTTCTGATATTGCAGAGTTGAAAGTGTTTTACATGATAAGCAGTTATAATCTAGGAACTTTACTCTTCCTCACTGCACTTTCATGGTCGGTCTTCAAAGCTTCACAATAAGAAGCAGAGTACAAATTGCTTTGGCCTACTCGAGAAATTTATAGCAAAGCAGAGTACTTTACAATGCGAAGATGGCTGCTTGTGCTTAAATTTTGTTTTGCATAATCTCTTTTGCAATTCATGCAGTAATTTGGGGTCCAGTATATTCATGTCACCTGTTCATTAAAAAACTTCTCAATTTGGAAAAATTTTCCATTTACAACCGTTCAACTGGATATCACAATGGGATCTAGCATCTCAGGATTGATTACCTGCTCCGATGGTCAAAATAACAATCTCACGAAGAGGGTCCATTAATATCTCAAAGTGCTAGTTTATCAACCACGTCCTCGTGTAAGCGACCAGGGAACATAAAACTAGACCTTATAAAAAAAAATTTAGATAAGGAAACAAATTTGTTCTCCGATTAGTTAATAATCTAGAAGTGCATTTTCTGACAGTAGCTCTTTATTTCAATAGTAGAAACAAGTTCGTCAAAATTAAGCAAGCAAGCTAACATAAGCAACAAAGAAAACTGAATGTTAGACAATATAAAGAAGCAGTAGCATTACAAAAGCAGACTAACGCAATTCACATACTATAAAATACAACCAACGAGGCAGAGATCATATACCATGGGTTCCAGTGACAGCAATTAATTTTGTTTGTAACTGTGATAGAAAGAACACAATTAAGCACCAATTACGCTGACCAATTCATTACAATCAAAAGATATGGACCCAACTATAAAGTTATCAAAGTGACGAATAACTGTAAATTGCATGTATTTCCCAAGATTTTAAGAGGACAAAGTAAGCTAATTCAAGATTAATACTCACCCAGGTATTCCAATGGACTTGGCATGTAAAATCTCTACATTCTATTGTGGAATGGCTCTAGAAAGAACAATGGCATTAGGGAATCTCGAGTCTCCACCATTTCGGCATCGATTTACCAACATCCAATGGACTGATTTCATTATTTAAATCCTTCGGCCCCAAAATCTGGGCCTAATTGACTAAAATTGAGACCATCTTCTTTTTTTAAAGAACACCATTCTTGCAAGTTAAGGCCCAACGAACGAAAGTAACTTTTTAGGCTCCCAATCTGTAATACTTCTGCGAATCAAAACCTAGCCCCTGGTAAAGAAAGGGAAAACAAAAACCATTCATTTTTCACACCCGAACATTTCACCAAGTAATTGGAGCACTATTTCTAACTAAAAAAAGTAAGATTTAAATACCCTTTCAAATCGAAAGAAGGCTTCCTTTTTCAGCCATAAGAAGTCTGACGGAGGCAACAAAAAGGCCCTAAACTTGGTGATGCTCAAACAGCCCAGGCCAGATTGTTTGGTGCTTTATTATTATTTTTTTGTTTATCTAGTTGGCCTTTGCTATCCAGAATGTTTGAATGGACAAAATTATGCGCCGCTTGTTGGCCTAGTGATAAAAAAACCTTTAAAAAAAATATGAAAGCTTCGAGTTCGATTTAAACCAATCTTTCCTCATCTTTAAATTCTGTAGATAAAAAATAAATTTTGATGTTCTGCCACTCTAACCAAATATTTATCCCAAGTGAAAAAGTTTTTAGTTGTAACCATCAAGTTAACATATATCCAAATAGTCCTAGTTGATTTTATATTTAAGTTGAATTCAATTTACCATTTTTTTTTCAAACAAAACTGTGTGTACATTGACTTGTTTAAAACGGAGCAAAAATCTTTGAGATACAGCTCAACGATTGGACATTGCAACATTGAATTTGTAAGTTTCAAGTTCTAATCTCCTAGCTGCAAAAGGCCAAAAAAAAATTGAAGTTTATCCAACTTAAAAAGTGCTGATAGTGGACTTCACATCGCAACCATGGCGAAAAAATGCAGCAGAAATATGGGAGACCAAGAGATAGAAATGGGTCCAAGTGGGGGTGAAGTGTTGGCTAGGACGGTGGAAAAATCCACTATCAATATATAAATCCATTTTCATCAAATTAAAATAGTACTAAACGGATAAAATGTGTTAGCCAATCACTTAGAGCCACCTTCATCAACAAAAGTGCCAAACATACATATTGTTTGTGTCGATCTCGAGGAATTCTTAAAAAAGTCAAAAAAATTGTTAAAAATAAAGATAAAAAATATTTTTTTCGTTTATATTTTGACAATCAAAATGAGTGAAATATCGAAAAAAAATTATCATATCTTGCGTCAAATCAATGTTATGTAATTATGCTTTGTATAATGTATGCAGTAGCAACCAATACCATATCTGCTTCTAATAACATTAGAGAGGGAAATGGAATGTCTGCGCTTGCAGGAACGCGTTTTCGCCACGACAACGTGATATGGGTTTTTGTTCAATGCATCGACACGTTGACAATACTTGGCAGACCTACAAAAACAAATCCACTATTTGGGAGTTTTAGGTTATGGTCAACGTCAGATGCAGTCGACATAAATAATTGCGACCCAATATTATTATTATATATTTAAAGGCCGAAGCCTTTTGTTTGACCTTTCCTACTTTCCTCTATTTAATGAATCGAACGACGTGGGACGTTTTCCTAGACCTTGTTTAATTTTGATAGGTATGGCCATGGAATTGGGATAGTTATTGGCTTCAATGCAAAACCTAACGCGGATGTGATATCAACATCATCAACATTATTTTAGGGTTTATAAAGTTGAGTGCAAAGGCTACTAAACTTACGTCTCTCTGCATTATTACGATACTTTAGGGGGTCCTGACTCCTGAAGTCGGTGAGATGCTGCAGAGTTTACACGTAGCCCATGAACTGAAAAAGACGGGAATGAAGTGTCATGAGGAAAATCACGAGGGATATGCAGTCGAGGGATCCAGTTCTTCACAATTTCTTTTATCCGATTCTGTAACACCTGATGCCCTCCAAACCCACCAAAAACTCCATCCTAAAATATTGCTTGATTTGAAGTCCTCGTCTTTGCTTTTCATGGAGGCTCTGATGAGGACTGAGGAAGGCTAAGTTGAAATATAAGCTCTAAAAGGACATAAAATCCATCGGGATTTTTTAATGAGCAGGTTCCAGGATAGGCCTAAACCCATGATCTTGGGAAAGAAAAATGTCCTGATGATAAGATTTCCAATTAAAAACTTGTTTTGTTCTATGTTGCTTCTCTATTATTCCTCCTATAACTAACAAAATGCTGTGACCTTAGCTTAGCCAATACAATATTCAGAGTTTGCCAGCGACTATACAGTATTTGAGATTACCTTTCTTGCATAGACGAGGTGCCTAACCATGTATACGGGACAGCACATAGGCAGAAAACAGTGAAATGTTGGGTTGAGTTACACATTCCATTGTTCCAATTGGTAGAAAGATATAAAAGGTTCTTAAAGGAAACCATCCTTTTCCATCCTCTACCAAGTTTAGCAATTTAAAACATAAAACGATGATATGACATCTTACAAAACAAGATATAAAAGAAATTTAAGTTAAAATTTTAGTAAAATTATATATAAATTTAATAAAAAATATTATTTTATATTTTTTATATCTACATAAATTATAACGTATAAATTTAATATAAAATATGATATTAATATATAAATTATATTATTTTATACAATAAAAATATTTAAATTGTCTAATTTACTATTAAGTCAAGCTCATGAATTGGATCTAATACAAAAAGTTTCATCATATTGGAAATTAGGACTCAGGAGTTAAAGATAAAGGTATCGATCTAACCTTTTATAGTTTGGTATTGGATGAGAAAGTAGTTGTAATTTCAAACCATGAAAGCACATTGAATAAAAAATACCATTCTGGAAGGATCTGCTAAAGTGCTAATCCTTTTAAGTAAAAAATTAGATGTTTTAATGGCAAAACTTATATGAAATTTGTAAAAAAAAACTTTTAAAAATAATTTAATAAAAATTTTAATAAAAAATTCAAACCGTGAATATCAATAATATATAAAACATTATTAAAAAATTATTTATAATTCAAATTTGATCGATACTTATTCAACGAAAAAAATTTTATAAATATTTTTACTAAAAATATCTATCTAAAAATATATATCAAAATTTATTAAATTTTTTTTAAAATTTACACACTTAATCTATATAACAAAATCTTTTAATTTATTATTTTTTATTTTCGATTTTAATTTTTATTTAATTATTTTTAATAAAAAAACTTCATAAATTTCACCTAAAAAAATTTTATCCAAATCTTTCCTGATGTTCTAAAGAATTAAAGTATAGCTTAGCGGGTTTGGCCGATGGTTGGTTCGTTCCGGGACGAAGTGAAAGCACCATTGGTGTGAGATTTGGTTCATTTTTAAAGTCATGATTATTATCATCAATAAATCCAACAAATCATAGACTTACTTTTCAATTTTCACTAAAAGGACATCTAAAACTAAATACCATAACATTTTTTGTAATAATCTTTTGTCACTATGAGATTGTACAACCATTCACTGGACACCTATTCTCAAGTAAACCTTGAGTTTTGGCCCAAAAAAAAAAGTAAAGCTTGAGTTGTAAATTACAATGCTGATTTTTTAGGAATTAATTTTCAGTGGGAAACACCATGATTTCCCATACACTGTATATTTCCTTCATTCTGATCACTCTTGAAAAGCATGTATCGCTGTTGAAATTTAAAGGATATCCATTCCAAGTCATTGTCTATAATTCTCTCCTATGTCCCTTTTTTCTTTAAGAAAAAAGAAAAAGAAATCCATATTTTTCTGCTAGTAGGAAAACAACAGTGACCAACTCAAAATCATTTTCCATTTACAATAATGACAGTATTGTTTCTCTATACTGATATTGCTCACAAATGGGTCCCCCTTCACAACAGTTGAATTATCAAGAACCCTAGCTTGATTTGATTCTCCTATTGATCTCTTTCTCCATTTCTTCTATCCCTCCCACTTCCTCCACTTCCTGCTCCACAACAACACACAAATTCAATTCACAACAATAGAAAATCTAAGGAAACCAAAGAAATAAATTTAACAAAAAAAAGGTTAGAAATGAAAGAGTAGAAAAGATGTTTCAGACAATCACCTTAGGCCCTAGAAACAGCCCATACGGGACACCATTGAATTTTTCTGAATGATGAAACTGAAAGCCCAAACATCAAATCCGAAGAAGATCATGGCCGTTAGATTATGTTAGAAGAAAACTCCAAAGAAAAATTGATAAAATAAACAATTAAAAAAAAAACAACCAAAGAAGTCACTAACCTGGTGAGCGGCAGCAACCTTCCTGAAGTAGGGCACGTTGGCAATAGGCCCCACCGGGAATCTCTTATGGACAAGACCATCGTGGACGAACATGTAGGCCATTCCAAACACCGTAATACCAAGCCCCTGGGGAGCCGAAAGTTCAAAGAGGAAATATCAGAAAACACGAGAGGCCAATTTTGAACATGCAGAAAAAAAAAGTTATTCTGAGTATGATTAAACCGTTAATTCAGGAAGAAGATCAAGATTCAGAAAGATAATGAGAGAGAAAAGAGAAACTTACAGCACCAAAACATAGACCAGGTACAAGGCCTTTGTTGAAGAAACCATAAGAGAGAAGGGCAATAGCTGGGACGGCGTTGATAATGGCGAACACATCGTTTAGCTCGAACGGACCTTCTCTAGGTCGATGGTGAGACTGCAAAATCAGAAATTCATTTTTTTTTAACCAATCTTTTCCGAGAGTTTTCAATCTCTCAGCTACTTAGGCTTTCACAGAGAAATGAAAAGAAGGAAAATGAGAAACAAAAAGAAAAAAAAAAAAGAGGAAATAAGTACTTCGTGCATATGCCATAACGAAGCGTGCCAGAGAGCTCTGTGAGCCCATCTAGCCCAAAACTCCATGCCTACCTGAAAATAGAAAACGACCCAGTTTCCGATTCAACAGTCAAATCATACTTCAAATGCGATTATATAAAAAACAAATTTGATGAACGAAATTGAACTTACAGCGGCACCAACTGATAAAGCAAATGTACCAAACATTTCAGAAAGCGGCACCTCTCCTCCCTTGAAATAAAAAACAACCCAATTTCAGAAATTGATCAAACAATAAAGAAGAATAATAAAAAATAAAGGGTGAAAAGAGAGGAAACAAACCTCCATTTGCCACGAAAACCTGTAATAAACGGCCATAACAGCCATGGACGTGATCCCGAAACTAGACATGACAGCAGCAACAAGGTAAGTAAACCGTTCGGATCTCTTTCTAGCTAACTTCTCCGCCACACGTGCGGGTATTAATATCTGACGATCTCTAACATCCTCGGATCCTTCTTCTATGAGATTTACGATCTGGGGAGCACTCTGCTTCTGTTCCTCCAGCACAAAACAAACGGTAAAGCTTGTCTTTTTTCGAGCTCCATATGTTGGTTTTTGGAGGTGAAGCAAAGGGTGGAAAATTGGCGTTGGCTTCGGCGTATGCTGTGAGGATAGAAATGAAAGGAAAGGTTTAGGGGTTATGGTGATGGACAGGCCTGCCGCCATGGAAACAACTGCAAGAAACTAGACTTGATTATCTGATATACGTCTAAAAGCTTAAAGCAAGCTCTCTGGAAGGGGGAGGGGTCGAAGTCTTAGGGAATTTGGTGTGAGAGGTTAAATGCACTGAGACCACAATTTTTGCATTCTGTACTGGGACGCTTGTGGAATTTAATGGAATTAAAACACACTCTCTCGTTACATGGTAACGAAAACACCCATGTTTCTTCTTTAAATTACCAAGTTGCAACTAGCAGTAAGGGTCCGTATCCAAATGTAATTCGTGGAAATTTTATATATACTTTGTATTATTGATAAATTATCATCTTTTCTAGCATTTAGTGATTACTTTCTTTTGTTTTTTTTTTTTAATTTCTTAATAAGGAACTAGAATGCTACCTTTGCTTCTTTTGGGATTTTTCTTAATTTTTATTAAAAAATTTTAAAATTTTTTCTCTTTCAGGTTTTTGGATTTTTAAATTTAAAGAAAAAAAGTTTGAAAATTTTATATCTAGAGTTTTTTATATAATTGTTTGCATTAATTGGTTTTTATTTTATTTTTTTGAAATTTATTAAAAAATCTCAAATCTAATGTCTTTAGTTTTTTTATTTTTTCGTTTTTAGGAGATTTTTTTTGAAAAAAATATTTAAATTCTAGATCTAGTAATTTTTAAAAAAAGTTTTTGTTTTTTTTTTTTTGTTGATTTTTGTGTAAATTATTTTTTCAATTGATTAATGTTTTAGTTGCATTTTTTATGTCTTAATATGTGATTGGGATTTAATATGTTGGTTACTTTGAAGATTTGTTGAATGTATTTCTACAAATTGCTTGTTATCTAGGTGTTTGATTTTTTTTTTGTTTTTGCAAAAAAAAATTTGGAAGGTTTTATAATTATCAATAACACTTCAATCTTTTTCTACAAACATCCTATTATGTTTTTTATTTTCTATTAGAAATATAATTAAGCAAAAAAATTAAAAAAAATTCTTTTAAAAAATTAAAATACCACATAAAAAATAAAAAGCTCATCACATGTCAATATATTAACTCTTTAAAAAATATTTTAAGAAAAATTTAAAAATAAAAAAAAATGACATGTAATAAGCACATATCTTGTCACATGTCACCACACTATCTTTAGAGAATAATTTTAATAGATTAAAAGGTAAAAATAGGTGACTATTATTCATGGTAGTATACTAGTATATGCTAAAATGCATAGTTATCATAATCAGATCGAACCACCAATCCGATCGATTAAATTAGTGAATTAATGTTGAAATCAATCTAATTTTGTAATTAGATCAATTTTACAATTAAATCGTTGTAAATCGATAGTTTATATAATAAATTAGTAAACTGAAAAAAAAAAAAAAGAATCAGACTTATTCAATACCAACTAATAAACTTAAGTAAAATATGAAAAAAAACCCTTGAAATATTCAAAATAATTTAATTAATTCCTTATACTGCTATATCATATAAATAAGCCCTTCAATTCTTATTTTCTACTATCAAAACTCTTGTATATTTATATTAATAATATGTTGGCATATATTTGAGACAGATGTATAATGACAATGCAAAAAATTTTACACATGTGTACAAATAAGCAATTTTAAAAATAATGGTCTAGCAAAAAATTTTATTAATTAATATCATAATTAAAAAAATTAAAAATAATAATAATATATAAATTTAATAAAAAAATAAAATGTTAATAAAAATGATTAATTATTTAACCATGATTGAAAATAATTAATAAAAGAAAATGTATATATGTACAATTAATTAAAAAAATACATTCATATAAAATATATAAAAATAATTTTAATTTTCTTTTTACTGATTTTTATATAAATATAAATATAAATATTTCTTTTTTATTAATTTTATATATAGATATTTCTTTTTTATTTCATAAAGATTAATTATTATATATTAATAAAAAATATTTATATTTTAATAAATATAAATCATAATAATAATTATTATTTATAATTATTTATTAGTTTTAATTTGTTATTTATTATATTTATTAAAAAATAAATATTATTTCTAACTATTAAAATCTAAAATATGATTTTAATAAAATGTTAAGTAATTTCATTTCTAACTAGTAATTAATTGTTCTATGAATTTTATATTTTAAAATTTGTAATTTATGATGTACCTTAAAATTTATAGTTTTATGATTGAATTATTAAATTATAACTTGAGTTAAAAATTTAAATTTTAAAATTTTAAAATATTTATATTTTTTATAATATTCTTTTATTAAACTAACAATTGACCCAATTGATATAATGGTTAAACTATTAACTTGGTAACTTGAAACTTTAAACGATTTAATATCCGATCTAATTCTAATAACTATGTTAAAATGTTTGGTCTTCCCATGGCAAAATCATGGGCAAACTAAGTGTGTTGACTTATGATTACTATACTAATAGTTGTGTGATATGTTAATAAAATAATAAAATTTAAATTTAAATGATTAAAGTCCAATTATTAATAATTTTAAATAAAAAATATTTACAAATATTGTTTAGTAGTATAATTTTTTTAAATATAATTACACAAGCTTTCATTGTCTCTAAAGTAAATCATGCGGATACCATTATGTGTCATTCATTTTAAGAAGTTTATTAAATCTTATCTTTAAAATTCACAAATTACAAAATTTTATTTATTTATATCTTTAAGTTGGTTCCGTTTGTACTCTTTATTTTATAACTTTTTAAAACCATCTTCTAAATAAAAATTAGTTATAATCTTTGAATTTCGTTAACATTATGTTGTATTTTTTGTTCGCCATATCTAATAAAAAGTGTTATGTTGATATTATATTTGATTAGGCAATTATGTTTTTTTATAAGTCATTATTTTCATATTACAAAATTAATATCTTATTTACATATAATTAGAAATTAAGTAGCTATTATTTTTAAAAAATAATGACTCAATTTATCCAAATAAAAGAATAAGACTAAATCCAACATTTTTATGAAATACATGAATTAAATCCAAAATTATAGAACATGGGGAGGAAGATCCTATGTTATTTTGGTAATTGAGTTGAAGAGCAAGCGCGAAATATGGGAAAGTGGCAGTGACGTTTGGACCACACTCACCAACTGGAGCATAGATGAAATTAAGTTTAGGACGTAGTTGCACCTTTAGTTAAGTTTTAATCACCATAAGTTAGAATTTAAATGTTAATTTTAATTAAATTTATTTAATATAAATTTTTTATAAAATTTTTAATTATAATTATAATTATTATTATTATTATTTTTAATCTTATTAAAATTATTCTCATAAACTCATTAGAGGGTTATGTTAAAGAGGATTACTCAAAGAAATATTTAGGTTCTTGGAATATCAGTTGTGGTGTAGACTGTGTGAAAGCAAATGTTGTAAATATTGTTTGATTGATTGGCAAAATAAGAATTGAAGTGACGTTTGGACGGGCATAAAAAGGACAAAGGCTAGGCAGGCAGGCAGGGGAGGCCCATGTCCGCCACAGGATTGGCCACCGTGCAGGTCAACGGACAACCAATGAAATCGTAGAATTAAAAATGATTACCCGACGTCCCATTTCTCTGTTTATTCGTGCTACGTTGTCTCGAGGGTAACCTAATTATCGGTACCTTTCCTAAGAAGTTGTGCTTGCCACGTGGGATTTCTCCATTGGGTAATCTTTAAACACTCGTTCTTCTTTTAGCCGTTCAGTTGTCCACCTGGCGAAATGCTTGCGCGATCAGAGATTTCCTGTGGATCACACTAGGTACAAGGTAACAAGCATATGGCTTTTCAAAATATTGTTGAAAAATACGTGGGATTTTTTTTGAGGGGGGGGGGGGGGTGTTAATGAAATATGAACAATGGAGTATAGCCTAACGCGAAATGTTTATTAATTGAGTCATACATCAAGATTTGTTCTAACAATTATTATTCATCTTTTAGAGGATTCGAGGTAATATCTAAAATTTTGAATATATTTTTATACAAAAAATATTGTAATTTAAGAATAAAATAAAAAAATTACAAATGTTACAATTTAAATTAAATATTATTTTTAAAAATAACTATATGAATTAATTAAATTAAACTTTTAATTTCATATACACTCATTTTTTTTAAAAAAATTTCTCATAAATAAATTCTCAAATAAAAATATTACTTTCCTCAACAAACATAATTATGGCATGATATATGGTCATGGAAAGATCGAACTAAGAAGTCCAAAGCGAGACGTCAATAAATTTGCTAGCTACCTGAAACCACAAATTTAGAGGGATGACATATTGAGACAGAATGGGCAGGCATTGTTTAAATGAACCCAGATTGAATATGAAGCGACATTAAACCTAGTACCCAAGAAATGAAGTGCAGCACAAAAGATTGAAATTCCAACTCAGAATTCTGGCATGGCCATAAGCTGAAATAAATACTATACTAGTTGTAAATCTTAGAATCTCATGCATTCATTAATTAAATTGGCCTAAATTTTGTATCCTTTGAAGCAATATTCTCCGTCAACAGTGTCTCAATCATTCGGTTCCAGGATCCTTGAAACTTGATGGATGCATAAAGGTTGGTTTTGCCTGTAAATGAACTGTTCTACAAATCGTGGTCCAAAACAGGCAAACAGGTTGGTTTTAAAATATTTATTTCGATATTATTCCAAACTCAAGCTTTAACTCACAGTTTCATGCTCCTTGCATACATTAGTGATAATCAAACCTAATCAAATTGAATTCAGGGAGCTCAATTATTTTTTCAGTCGAGGTTGAGCATAGAAACTAAAGCTCTACCAAGAGCTTCAAGTTTCTTAATCAGTCAAGCTCGAGTTAGCTGGGCATTACAGTGGCTCAAATCGATTACAGTGCTACATTTAGTCAATCTTTTAAGACATTTGAATGCATACGCTCCAGTTTTATTGAGCTAACACTTGAAATCTCCAGCACTATTGAAACACCAAGTTATATTATATATAGTCCATTCATCATTATCATACCTTTTTAGGGTTCAATATATATATATTTCTTCCTATTAGCATGTCCAATTTGTTGGAAAAGTGACCTTAGCGCTTAGTTCAAGCTATAAAGAAGGTATAAATATCATAGTATCCATCTTTAATCATGGTCGGAAAGGGTTATCACAATTCACAACGTCGAGCTTTTTGGGTCACGTTTATAGTGGCATTATTAGGGATTTTGGCATCCTTTGCTTTTAGAGCTTAGATCACCATGCACAAATAGCTTAAGCATCACTTAGTGTCGAAAGTTCCAAAGGTTTGTAAAATTATCATTATATGACTGAAATAATTTCTTGATTTTTGGTCTCCGAAATCATAGCTTAACTACGGCTTCAATTAATCATGTAAGAAAAGTCTAGCACACTTATTTGTCCAAATAGTTTTGCCCTAAATTGTTCATTCCTATTGGATTAATATTTTGCAAAATGAATTCATCATTCCTCTCTTGACTAACATAATGTTCATGCTAAAATTTTAGTCTAAGATAAACATTGGTCTTCAATAGCTAGATACTTCCCATAGAAAGGACAATTAAAGAACATAGAAGATTGGGTTTTGGGATATATTTAGGATTCATTTGATGGGCAAGATTAATTGCTAAAATGATAAAAATATTTATTATAACAGTAACATTAAATACAATAATAACGATATTAAAATTAGCGATGAAGATTTATTTGGATGCAAATATAACGATAATAATTTGATATGACAGTCGATTGATTTTGATTAAATTTTAATTTTATAATAAGATAGATAACTGCTCTAAATCATCTTTTTTATTATAATATTGCACTTGAAAGTCCATATTGGGAGATTGGGAAAATGGTTGATACATGTTCTTTAAGCTCTCAAAGTGTTAAGCTGGATTCCTCACTTCACATCTTCAAATCGTAATTGATTAAAAAAAATCTTAGAAATTGTACAACAATACAAAATTTGTACTAAAGTTTGCATTCTACAAAAGAGAGAGAAGAAAGATCACTCCAAATAAACAAATGTTGTTTGGATTCAAAAAATTTTCTACAAAATTGTAGGAAAATCTGAAAAGAGTCTTTGGAGTGGGTCACACTGGATTGTGTGAGTTATAATTATGTGTTATTCCAGTATCTATTTCTCGTAATGATTGTAGTTCATTTCCTCCGTACGCATCAGAAGCGTCCTCGTCCTGTTCAGATCAAGTCTGGCTATTGTGTGTGTGCTTTCGAAGTGAAGCCTCTCTTTTGAGGAGACAAGCATTCCTGCATTATAAACACACGAAGAAAACTAAATAGATTGGCAGGCAGAAGGACAAGACAGCAATAGGTACAGAATGTGATATCTCTAACTTCTGGAAGATAAAGTTGTTCTTACTTCATTGGGCGGCAAGTCACGTGGCTCAAGCATATGAATTACTTCTCCCATTTTCAGCCTATGATCCAAATCAGGATCAACACATCGAAAGGCGATCAAGGTAATCAGTTTGAGCTCCATTATAGAAGGAATTTCAGGCATCTTAGGATCTACTGCGGCTGCAATTTTGTTGTTTGAGACCATGGACTTTAACCAGTCAATCAAGTAAATCTGTAGTAGGATATTTCATTTTGTCAAAATCAGAGACACAAGCTTTACATAATGCTCAAATATGCTTGAGGTCAGGAATTGCTACTTGGTGTTGATTGTTGTGATGAAAAGGGGTCCTCCCTGTTACGATTTCCGTGGTAAGTATTCCAAAGCTATAAACATCACTCTTCTCATCCCACAGGCTGATAAAAGCATGTTCTTGAGCAGCATAACTAGAAATCCACGCAAATTGAGACACGGTCAACTAAAAAGTTTAACTTAGATCACACCTCACAAGTTTAATCAAGAATGTATGGTCTAAATAAAAATGAATAGGCAAGTTGAATTCATATAAACTGACCTTAGCTTGACCATTTAAAGAGTGGTTACGTGGCTGTGCTCTGAACCCAGCGGCCTAGAAAGTAGAACATTGGAGATCTTAAGATTCCATCTATGATCAAGTAAAATGTTGCAAGCCTCAACGTTTTGATGGACAATCTGTCGTTCGATATCCTCGTGGAGGTAGGCCAATCTGCAGAAACGTGATCCCAATTCTCATCAAGTGTATCGATATCATTTGAGCACATACCACAACCGATACAGGGAAATCACAATAATAATCATTACAAGTAAAATGATGTTGCTAATCTTGTTTCAGATTGTCGAACTCACTCCTTTTTTATCCCATGGATAATTTTCATAAGTATGGTCCAGGTTAGAGGCCTGGCTTGCCCTAGGGACCCATGAAGACACTGGTGCAGATTACTATCATCGACATATTCATATACAAATATCCTAATAGAACAGAAAACTAAATCAGGAGTTTGAGGCATCACCATTCCGATATTGGGCGAGATAACAACTTCAATTTATTAGATCACATAAAAGAAAATACCTGTAACCTTCTTCCACGCTGTATATCCAAGCAACTTGACTACATTGTTGTGTCGCACATGCCCGATTGCCTCTGCCTCTGTTATGAACTCAATTTTGCAACGGATTGTCACATGATCAATACTTTAATTGATAAACCCATGGAAAATAATTATTAGAATCAATCAAGAAGTAGTTACCTGTTACTCAGTAGCCTCTTCACTGCCACTTGTGTATCATCCAACAATATGCCACGGTAGACAACACCATAATCTCCATGTCCAATTAAATTTTCATAGGCGAAACCAGTTGTGACAATCTCAACCTCCCTCAAACTGAAGTGGCTACCGGTCCAGGTTTCTGAAATACATGGTGAACACTTGGCAAAAGGGATCCAAATCAACCAGACGATTCTCTTGAGTTGTTACACTAGCATGAGCCGACCATTGGTCAGAAAACATTAACTGAAGCTCAGGCTTTGTCGACGTGTTCATCTCGATCTCCGAAATGTAAAGCGGAAAGAGCCTCTTATTGAGTGAGGAAGTGCTGTAAGCGCTTTGATAATTCTTGGGAGCAATGGGGTTTGGTAGGCGAAAACAGATGACACAGAGAGAGATGATGAAGAAAGCCAAAGAATGAATAATGTAATGAATGCGACTATCAAGATCCATAACCGAACACCAAAAAAGGAGGTATGCCTCGAGAGCTTTTCCTTGGGATATGATACCTGTGATGACATAAAAAGAAACGAGCTTCATGGAAGACGAAAATAGAGCTAAAAATCAGGGTTTTAGCTGCTGCTGCTGAAGGTGCTATAAACAGAAAAAGAGGTTGAGATACTTCGTCAGAGGTCTTGGAGTGGGGGGTATATTTCAAAAATCTTGATGTGCCAACAAACAAGCGGAAATATCTTGTTTCATTGATTTTACGTATATGGATTGAAAATACCACTTCACAATGACCACCACCATTTTCCCGTGGACGCCATTTATTTCCTAAAACAACCCCCACCCCTTTTTTTCGCCCAGGTTGAAGCAATGCTATGTAAGTTTTCGTGACAACCTGAAAGTAATATGAAAGTAGATTAAAATTATCAAAACTTGGGTGATTCTGTTACCGATTTCCAAACGCGAATTGTCCTCGTCTTTCTGTATCCTTCTTTCAAAAAAGAAAAAAATGCTGTTGAACTTTGTATTTACCCGTTTCCTATTTTGTAATTGAATGGAAATACTATTGGGTTTTCATAATTTGATTTCTTGTTCTGTAATGGAGTTGCTGAACGTGTTCAGATGCTTCCTTATACCGTAAAGTCCCCTGCCGAATTACGGTAATGCGATAATAATGGTAAGAAAAAAGATCTTGACAGCCTAACTCAACTGAGTGAAACTCAACTCAAATTTCTACTGCTTCACCGACAGTACCAAAATATTTACCCAGCCAGGTGCATATACACATGGTACTTGAAAATTCAATGACTTCAGTGGCGGATTCCTTTGTTTACCAAAAAAAAAAAAAAAAATTTCTCATATTGAAACTCAAACAATGTTATTTTATAACAAATATAAAGTAAAAAGTGATCGGAGACATAACTTTATTTCCAAAAACCGCCAGACTAGATAAAAATACAAAATTATAGATCCCAAAACGAGCTCAATATCGTATGGATGGTACAAAATAGGGGAACAAAGGCATTAAATCAGTTCTAAGATTTTGGATGCTATGTTCTTAAAAGATGAACCCAAAAGACAGACATAGCCTTCAAGCAAAACCTGAACCAGATGGAGCTGCACTATAGCCTCCACCTCCACGACCAAAGGCAGGCCTTCCACCAGAACCCTGCACAGTTAAAGAAATGAAATCATAAGTACAACTGGCCATTGGTTAACACTACCATCCATAAATGAAAGACTGAGCTTTAGTCAAACCAAAGCACTAGAAGTTCTACATAACTACGCAAAATAGAGTTTGCTCTGAGGAAGGACAGCTTGAGCTCTACTTGAAACAGCTTAAAGCCAACAAGTAAATAAAGTATAAAAGTACACCACCGCGACATGTATAAATGCTAATTGTTACCAAATCTAAGAAAAAATGAATTACATTTTGAAATTGCTCTTAACCTAGGGTAATCCCTTATATCCAAAAGTCAGACCAACCGAAGAATCTTCAGTCAGTATGAAAACAAACAACATTATTTAAAGACAAAGGTTAAAATTAAGCACTGATTATCATATAATCTTGAATACTTCGATAGCCTAGATTTAAAATATAACTAAAGCAGAAAGAAAACATCAATCTGATCATGTGGGACTTTAAATTCTTCATGCATACAACATCCACATTAACCATAAAATCTACAACTACAGTAGAAAAATTAAAACTCTATCAATAATAACATAGAAATAAGTTGAATCCATTTAAACACTGAGGCCACATTTAAAATGTGAAATTACCCTGAAGGATGGCTGGAAATCTGCTGGGGCACCTCCCTTGTCACCACCACCACCAAAGTCACCCCCACGAGGACCTCCACGGTATCCATCTCTGTCACCAAACCTAGGGCGGTCTCCCTCAAAGCGAGGTGGACCCCTAAAATTCAGACAAGCAAAAAATACCACTTAAAATCCACACAGACAAACCAAAATAAATAAATAAATAAATCGAATTTGAAACAAATCAAGGAACAATAAAGAAAAACACTGAAACAGTGACTATTATAAGATGCATTACCGAGGGCGATCGCCAGGTGGGCCACCTAGCCTACCAGGGGGCCTTGTAGATTTCTTCAAAGTAGCAGGCACAATTTCTGATGGAAGATTGAGGTAAGTTCTGAGGAACTCAATCCCATCATTAGTAAGGTACCAGTAGTAGTGCATCCAAGCAAATGTCTCGCGGACATATTCCTTGGACTTGAAGCTCTGCATCAGCTTAATCACCTGCAAATTGGGCACATCGATCTCGGGGTGCTTTGCAAGATTGTAATCCTTCTTTGCGTAGCAAACTCCCTCTACAAAATCACAAGCAAATTTCAATGAGAAACACAAAAATGACTGCTTAATGTAACGAATACAAAGCTCACTTCGTTTTCTCGTCAAGAGGAATGGATATAGGATTAGTCACACAGTAAAAAACAAATAAAATGAATCAAAATTAAGCTAAATTTTCTAACCAATCAAGCCAATGAGAATCAAGAAATGAATAAAGCAAGGGATAAATTACAAAAAAATGAAAAAAAAAAGATATAAACCTTGAAAGAGGTATTTGCATATTTCTCTACGGTTCTTCTCCGGAATAATCTGACAATAGAAACCAAGAGCAACTTCAGTCGCGTATATACGTACAGATATACGTTTACAAAACATAAAGATAGATAAAAAATATAAGTACCATGGCTGCGAAGTGAATAGCAAGCGCAAGGTGACCCCTCGTACGGTTTTTCTCGCAGGAGCAGCAGGGTGCAGATAAGCAACAGCTTTGAAACCCTAGAGAAATAGTGGTGATTTTATAGTGGTGCCAGATTCGGGCAAAACGGGTTGTACCCGATCCAATTTATGTGGGCTTGAATGATCAAGTAGGTGGGCCGCGTTCATCCCGAGATCAATATCCAAGAAAATTTTTAGGACAAATTAGATGCTTTAAAACATTTTAGGTCTTCCCACCCCCCCCCCCCCCCCAAAAAAAAAAAGAAAAAAAACCAATGTCCCAAATAAAGATATATAAATGTAAAGAGTTGGTAAAAGTAGTAGAAAATAAGATCCTGGGGCATAAGCTGTCGGGTTCGAGCTCCTCTGCACTCCCTTTTAGACAAGATAATTTGTAAGTCCAACAAAAAATTTACAAATGAAAATTCAATAGATTCGTAAATTTTAATTAGATTAATTACTTATTTAAATTTTAAAAATAAGATAATCATCCTTTCTCCTAAACTTTCATTTCACCAAAAAAATTTTTTTATGTACATGAACTTCTTTTAAACTTTGTTCTAATTAAAAAAATTTATGGTGAAAGAGTACATTTTTATTTGAACTGAATCCGAAAACTTTTGATTTTTATTGAATTTTATTTAAATCAAATTAAATATTATTTCTTTAATTAAAAATTGATGCAAACATTAAACAACTTTCTCTCCATTTCCTTTCTAAAAACATGATTGATTGGAAGTTAGACACCCCCTCAATGTCAAGCCCAAGTGCCAAACCAAACCCTCATCAAAGCCGGGTAGAAAGAGAGTGACAGGCCACAAAAAGGCTGCCTCCCTCCTTACCAGGAATGTAAACGTCAAAAACAAAATCTCAACATACAAGTCAAAGACCGGCTCTAAATTCTGCTACCAAACATGCCATCGACATCCACACACTGCAACACACAATGAAAAACTGATATTTGTATAAAACCGCAAATCAAAACTAGCTGCAGCATAGACAAATAATGCACCTATATTACAAAGAGGTCTACGACACTAAAATATGCAGTCAAAGCTAGAATACACAAAAAACCCAGCACTGTACAAGATACTCCAAAAAAAAAAAAAAGCGCTATACACTTCCTTCGCGATTCTTCTTCATTCTGCACCAGTTTCTCCCTTTAACTTCTCTTACAATGTATATATACATGACAGCAGAATGGGGAAAATTATTTGGAAATTTTGCAGCCTATTGTCCAACCAACAGTATATATACTAACAGAACTAACTCTTTTGATTCTTGCCCTTTTTTCCTGGCATGAAGACAGTGTCCAGATTAATGATATAAGAAAGAAAAGAGATTATGCACAGCTGCAATTAAAGCAACTCATCACCTAGCATATTAAGTGATGCTTTTGGATTGGTCATTATCAACAGCATCACACACACCGTGATTAATTGTCCGTGTCAATCTCATAGGAAGAAAGCAATCTTCTCTGCATCAAAAAAACAATATTTACAAATTATGTAGGGGGACAAATAAATTTTAAAAGGCCAACAAAACAAACACAAAAAGACTCACAGCCAGAAAGTTAAAAGGAACTAGATCTTTTACCAAATGATAAGTAAACAACTCTGGTAGTATAAATCAGGGACAAGCTGTGCTACTGAACAAACTCATTTGGCATCAAGATTTCACTTTTAACATTTAAATAGACAGGCATGCATGACACATAATTAATAATAATAAAAAAAAAACATTCTTCTCATTTCTTACATTTCCAGCCTAATCAGCCAATACATGCTTGTTCTAACAAACCATCTTTGTTTTGGAGTATGACAAAATATCACAGAACAACTTCCAACATGCAAAATAAACCATGCAACAGAGACAATTACACCCAAGATAGATTAATAATATCATAGGAATTCATTATCGTACTTTTCCAAACTGCAATATTTCTAAATGCTGACTACAGAAAACTCATTGTAGTTTACACGACAGAAAGCAGAGTGCTTCAAACTGTTGAAAGCGAAGGATGATTGCCCCTGATTTATGTTAGGCTGCAATGTTCCAATTCAAAGAACATCTTCCAACAGAACTTGTCTCCGTATTCAACCATTTCACCCATTAAAAAGAAAGTCTAAAACTACTAATAGATCTAGAAAAGCAAAAAGGGTGATACCAAGTACCAACATTACTACTTTTACTAGTATAGTCACATCATCCACATCATTAAGGAACAAGAACCGCATTAGTAAGAGCTCAGAAACAGAAACTCACATGATCCTCAAAATCAGGACTCGTCAGATTGATAGAGAGGTTTCTCATCAACAGCAGCACCTGAATAAGAGGAAGAAATATAAGCAATCACATTTGTGGCAAGATCAGTCAAGATCGTATAAAATGTCATGGTAAAAGAAACATACTGTCTCAACATCTATAGGATCCATCTTCTTAAGTTTCTGCAGATGACCAGCAGCATTTGGATCAAAGACACTGCCAATGAAACCGTATACTCGAGCAAAGTCGGGCAATACTGCATCAAGCAAAGTGTGAGGATAATACAGCATACAAGATTACAAATTTCCATTAGCACTAAGACAAACCTCTCAGTGCATGACCATGATTTCCCTGATCAGTCATTTCCACAATTTGTTGTGTCTTTGGGGTACTCTCAGTGCTACTACAAGAATTATTGGCCATCCCAGGACCTATAAAGGAAAATATACAACACATTATCAAAATCTTAATTTTCATAAGGGGTCACTGCTATCATAAATGGGTTCAATGTTAGAATACAAGAATTAGGAAGAATAAAAAACCTTTTTTAGCTTGTGAGAAACTGATGGTTTGTGCGTTGTTTGTCCAAGAAGATGCAGCAGCACTAGTAATAGGGTTCATAAGCATCGATGAGGGATCAGATCTTTGAACATATCCAGTATCAAGTAAAGCAGCCGATGACAGAAAAGACCCTGATACTTGTGGGTGTGCATGAGCTGCCAGATGTGACACAGAGAAACACGATTATCATGCCAATGTTTGTGATGTGATTACTACTCATACTTAAGATAAAATATCCTCACCATTTTTTGAGGCCTTTTGAGGATATGGATGAGCCGCTTTCCTTTTAGGTCGAGGTGGAGGTAAGTGTTCACTTGTTCCATTCTTCTCAACCTTTAAGAAGTACTTCTGGGCATGGCTACGGATCTATGAAAACAAAAAGAAAGGCATTTCATTGCAAATGTTTGTCATGGGCATTGATATCTGCATATAATTGTTATAAACAAAAAGAGCTCTATTTTAGAAACAAAACTGGTTTTCACATCATCACGGATTTGTTGCCTCTTACTGAAACATTGGAATGCAGTCTAGGATGCATAGGAGAGATTACTAACTATGATTGACAAGAATAAAGATCTCCTTGATTCCTTGATTCCTCAATCCTCCTGCCTCTTTCCTTTCAAATTAAAAAACTCAAAACTTCCCTAAGGAAATGCTTCAATCTTTCACTTTACCTGAATAACAGTCTTTGACCCAACAAATGCTTCAATCTTTTTCCAGTCACGGTCAAAGCTGAACAGAATCAAGGGAGCAATAACAAGAAGTGAGAGCTTGAACATAATTTCGCCAAACATAATCATGCAAAAAGCATTATTCAAAAATGCAACCAATGTAAAAACAAAAAACTAGTACAACAACTCCACTAAGTCACAGTGCTTATGAAAATTATGTTACCATCAAACATATACTACTATTACAGTTTAAGAGCTTGCAAGATTTGCTATCGTGTCTTCGATTAGGCAAACACGCTACTATAATTCAGCGTCTTTTCAGTTCGATATGAAGCCTAAAGCTAAGTGAATATAAGAAGGAATATATACTTAACACACAGAACAAGAACGTCATATCCTTTTCTTCACCACTTATCCATTTAAAAATTATTCTCATCCTACTTTCAATTAATATTTATAGTAATAAAAAAATTTAAGAAAAACCAACTTAGTAAATTTAATAGCTACTTATGAAGTAAGGGAAAAAGGCCTTCACTACCTAATTCAACTCAAAACCTTAAATTTGAACTGCAAAAAATATCATAAACAATTTCCAGAAAAAGAAAGAGAAAAAACCCTAATTTGAAATGGAAGCAAAGCAATTTCGTGGAATTAGAGGGAACATTGTTTGACTTTACAGCTGGAGAGCTTCAAGGAACTTGTCGTGTTCCGGTTCAGTCCAGCTCTCTCTGGACTTGGTTATGGTGTAGGGCTTTCGAATTTTCTTATTCGGATCCTCGGCAGATGAAACCGTGGAAGCCGTCGTGGCGAAGGGTCCCAGGCCGGGCAATGCCATTCCAGTCGGATCCAGGTAAAATCCCTCACCCGGGTTCGGGTTTTTGTAAAGCTAACAACAGAGAAATGTGGCGTTCGGGGAAGGCGGTTGAGTTTGCATATAAAGGGCTCAGGATTTGGATCGGATGCTGCTTGGTTTCCAACTAAAAATTAGAAGTGGCAAATAAGAATTTGCCACGTCTAGAAAGAATTAAAATAATATTTATGAGAAGGTAAGAAGACATTGATAAAACGTGTATCTATTTTGTGAGGGGACTCATTAAAAGATAGACAACCTTCATTAATTATGTTTTAAGAATTTAATCTTTCACTAAAAAACCCTATGTGATAGATTACAAGCCATTTACTCAAATTATAACTTTACAAATCAAATAGTAAAATTTATGTTACTTATTTGTTACGTGCCCAAATTTTATATCGAAAATTTATTATAATATATAAATTTAAAATTACATTTATAAGATTAATTTTTAAAAAATAAATAATATCTTATTAATTACAAGCAAATCTTCACATTATTTATATATATCATAAACCTTTTTTATTTAATTATGTGCAAGAATTTGTAAACTCAAATTATCATTTAAAAAAAAATAATGAAAATATCGTGCTTAAGAACAATTGAAAATTAAATTTAATTTTGAATATTCAATTTTTGATCATTTAAATAAAAAAATAAAATGTTAAGTTTTATTATTTTATTTCTGGAATTAAAATTACTAATACTATAATAAGCATTGATAATATCAATACTAGGTACTACTTGGTGCTAATATTTATCGCATAGGAAATCGGGGAATATTGCTTGATTTGGGAGTTGGTTACTGCAGTTCAGGAGGCATCAGAATTTGTCTGCCGCACCAAACTAATCCTCGGGAAGGGAAGGGTCGGCGGTAAGATGAAAAGGACAGTAAAGAGATAGAGCTGCTTTCATGGAAGGACACGTGGCGAAATAAGAAGCTTAGAATTTGAGATGTATTGTGTTGATGAATTCACATGTGCTAAGTGGCCAGCAGCACATGATCTGCAGCAGATATTTTAAGACTGGGACCCTACTTAGGTTGCCCACTTCCATGTTGCCTTTTGTTTTTTCTTTCTCAGATATTTTGGTTCACTCTTTTCTCTTTGCATATTAGTGGAGGGGTTGGACTTGCAGCTGGTTCCATTTCACCAATTTGAAAAGCAGCTTTGCTACTCACGTTTGTGTACAAAGAATATCTGAGATGAACGATATTCACATCTCATATGATAAAGGGGTGCATTTCTCAACCATACATGAAACATTCAATTAGTTTCTTTAGAGTAATTGAGGGATATAACATATGTAAAATTTTAAACTGGATTTTTTCATTATTTAAAAAACTCAAGGTCCAGATTTTTACAGTTTCTCTCCCAACTTTTGTTCAAATTAGAGGTGATTATTTAGTGGGTCAACTTAGGGCATATTTTGAATAAAATCATTTCGGATCAATAAAATTTTTTATTGTATTAAATTTAAATTATTTCGATTTCAAATCACTTCAAGTTTAATGTTTGATTATTTGGATTACATCACTATAAATTTTAATTATTAAATTTTATAATTAAATCGATTTAATTTTAATTAATTTTAATTATGTTTAATTTTTTATCAGAAGCTCAAATTTAACTTAATTATTATCATTAAGTGATTTTTTTTTTCATAAGAAGATAGTATGACTCAATTTAAGAAGGCCCTATTCTAAGTCACCTCATCTTTATTTGAACTAAGGGAAATAGCTTATTTGATGATTACTTAAAATTAATCACAACTAGAATTTTAAATTTAGCCATATGATTCATCACTCTTTCTTTAGAAAGTGGAAGATTATGTTTAGGGATATAATTCAACACTCAAAATTTTGAACCTGGGAGCTTATACATAGGTAGTCTAAAGCTTTGAAGGCCCAGCTTATGATATTTATTTCAAGTCTTACTATCCTTAAGTTCATTCCCCAATTCAGCTCTAATGAATTTATTTCATACATAACACACGAATAATATTCCCTTCCACCGTGTAATAAGTCCAGCTCCAAGCCCAAATACCGTATTCCTTGTACAGAAATTTGAAATGAAGGAGTCGAAGCAAGCAATTGCTTATAAATACAAGCCTCATGATTTGGGAAGTTAAGACCATATAATCTTCCTCGAATAAGTCGTGCAATTTTTTCTCAAGATTTGGGAAGTTAGAGCCATGTGATTTCCAAATAACCAGTTGTTTCTTTCTTGGCATACAAAATAAATAACAGCACTCCATACCATTCAGGTAATGAGTGTGATTAAACCTTTACCTTTTAGATATCTGTTTTAATTTTTCAGTAATATGCAAGTTGTATACTTTGTAACCAACCATTTTCTGCTTCTTTGGGTCAATAAAATTTCACCATATCCAAAAAGAAAAAGAGCATGAAAAAGGAAGTTGCTGGATCGCACATGGTGGGGAAAAAGAAGTTAATAGATGTTTAGAACAATGAGAGGAAGATGCGATCAATATATGGAGAATGTATATTTAACAAAGACCAATAGAAAATGGGTGCGGGTGCTTTTTGATTCTTTTCCAATGCATGTGCATACACTGCCATTATCTCCAACCTTTTTCATTTTTTATCAATACATCAAGCTTCGACCGTACAATTATTACCTTCCTGTTCCTCGTTTGCTTTTGCCATTTCCCCTTTCATATCCGTTGATAGAAAAAGGAGAAGAAATGCAAAAAGCGACACATTACGTTGTGAGTTAACCTACCTACGAAACTTTCAACTAAGTGCAAGGCCGGTACCCCTGCCGACACCACATTGCCAACTCGATAACCTGCTCCATATCAGATAATAGCATTTACAGTGCTATAAATTTTTCTTGTTTTAGTAGATTTTGTATTTTTTCTTTTTTGCTACAAAGGGAAGCCAAAACTTCCGAATAATAGATAAATTGGTTAATTTGATCTATTGCTAATGGCTAGGGATTAGTATATTTCATCTGTTAATGCATTTTCATAATTATCAGATCAAAGAACCAAGAATGATTTACTTTTTTTTTTATAACTGTTCGCAAATATGCAGAAATGATAGATGTACATGTGCCTTATATCGACAATTAATTAGCTGCATAGAACACTCGTTTTCGTTTTTGGATACATTGCATATATTTTAAAAGTGTTCACCACTTCATCTTCATCGCTTCTCCTGATATTTGTACCATACCATGATTTCTTTTTTTTTTTTTGTTCTCTTCTTCTTGTCTTAATTATTTCGCCTAGGACTTGTTCTATAGAAGATCCGAAAAAAAAAAAAATAGAAGAACTCGAAGCAAGTTGCAAACTGTTGGATTTTACTTTATAAAATAACAATTCAAGTAGTTATTGTCATTTGGAGACTCAGTCTCCACTTCCCGAAAATTGACAGCCCAGTCAAAGAAATTCATAAAAGGAAACACTGACAGGCGTCAACTGACATAATCTTGGATTGGGTATTAATGGAAGATGCTGTTAGAATCAAATCATAGAGCACCTTCCATGAACAAAAAAGTAAAGGTAAAATTGGCTCGTCATGTGCTTCGTGACTCAAACCCATGTGAGCAAACCTTTTAGCCAAGGCAACAAAAAGAACTGGCAACGTCAGCTTCCAAGATCCATCATCCAGGACCAGGAACAGGCCTCCTGGCGAACAGGGTGAGCATTGGGAACTGAGAATATTCATAAATACTGCTTTTTTCACATTTCTTCTACTGACCACTTGACGAGATCTTCAAGCACGTGATTGAGAAATAAAGACGAATCACGTAAGCCCTTGTTTCAACAGAATAAATAAATAGAGATGATTTAATTAATCAAAGTAACCTGGGGCTAAACACATAAAGCAGGCACCTAATCCTGCCTCAAAAAGGACGTTCATTCACCCTCCAAGCGGGGGTGCCCGAACCCCAAGGCTTGCTCTCAGCAAGGTTGTTAATATTATACGTGACAACTATTCAATTTTTTTTTTAAATATGGTATATCAGTTATTTTATATATTATTTAAGATATTTTAATTTAATATAAATATATTTATAAATTTATGTGAATTTATACATTACAATATTATTACTACTTTATAAAACAAATATGTAGTATTTTCAAAAATAAAATAAGTTTAAAAGTATAATATTTAATCTAATCAATATTTAACGAACTTTTCATAATATTTTTAAATATTTAATTTAATCATATGATATTTAAATAAATATTTTTTAATAAATATTAAAATAAAAATAAAAAGATGAAAAAAAATAATTTTGATTTCATAACTGTTAAACTTTTAAAAGAGAGTATAATTACTTTTTTTAAAGAAATTAAAATACTTATAAATTTTGGTTTAAAAAATAAATATAAAAAATAAATTACAATAAAAATAAATAAACTAAAAGGATTATTTCGTTAATTTTATTTTTATTAAGTTAAAAATAATTATAAAATAAAAATAAATTAAAAATTATAAAATATATTTTACATTCATATATTGATTGAAATAAGTTAATTTATCAAAATTCATTAAAATTAATTGAAAGTAACGAAAATAATTGATATTATCTAATATTAAATTTGATATAAAAAATTATTTTTAAATATATTTATATTAATATAATTAAAACATATCGATTGATATTGGTATTAAAATAAAATTAATAATTATACTCTCAAGTGCAAAAACTTGATATATTTTTGGAAAAAAAAAAAGACAGAAGCAATAATAGTAGGAAGACAAAGTGACACTAGAAATTTCCTCGATAAACAATTTTAAGTAAAGTGGAGTATACTTTTTCTCCTCCTTGGCTTTGAAGAATAAAAAGAAAGGAGCTTTTTTTTTTTTTCAAAAGGTTGATTTTCTGGAACGATGTCGTTTAATTTTTGGTGTATATTCCGCAACCTGAAGTAGGTGGCAAAATTCCATTTATTGAATAGACTGGTAAAGACCCATCATGTTGTTTGACTTAGGTTCGGTGGGCTCATTTGTATTTCTGAAGCTTCAGCTTGCCGTCAAAGGTTTTAAGAGTTCCTTAACATTTCTGTTCCCCCTTTTTGTCTTTTGTTACTAATCCCTTTTTGTTGTCACAAGTATTTTCAAAACTTGAAATGAAGGTTAGATTCTCCATCTTTTCTCTCTCTCTCTCTCTCTCTCTCTATATATATATATATATATGTATTTGTGTTTTCCAGTATACACAAACAAAGAAGCTTGAAAATTGCTTTTAAATGAATTTTGTTTTGTTTTTATGCGAGGAGAAGTGAATGAAAAAGTGCTGAGTTATGCTTTGCTTTAGTTTTCTCAGCCTAACAAGTTTTTTTTTTTTCTTTTATTGGTTTTAGCTGGACTTTGTAGCCTTGCTTCGATCTAAATATTAACAGTAAATGATTTTGTTTTTGACAGAAAGTTGTGTTGAAATTGGATTTGCACGATAACAAATGCAGACAAAAAGCCATGAAGATAGCCTCTGGCCTTTCAGGTATTGCATTTAGTTGCAGTTTCTTGTCTCTGTTTAGGGTTAACAAACATGGGAATTGAAAGACCTTTTACTTTAAAATCTACCATAGAAAACCCAGATCTTGAAGCTAGCAAAAACTAACTTAAACTGTTATTTTTGCAGGGGTTGATTCAGTTTCTTTGGACAAGGACCAAAATTTAACAGTGACAGGAGACATTGATCCAGTGGTGGTAGTGAGGAAACTCAGGAAGCTGTGTCACACGGAGATAGTTTCGGTTGGACCAGCAAAAGAGCCAGAGAAGAAGAAAGAAGAGCCCAAGAAAGAAGAGCCAAAGAAGCCGGAAGAAACTAAGAAAGATCCCCCAATAGAACCTTTGATTTACCCATATCCATTGGCACATTGTCCTCCAGTGCTCGGCTATGTTGAGGTCCTTGAGGAAGATCCAGCTGGTTGCATTATCTGCTAATCTTTTGTTCATGGATATGAAAATAAATCAATACATATCAATAGTAATTTTTTTAATTTCTTTTTCTATTAATTAACATTTTCATTTTGACAAGGAAATTTTTAAATATTTTGCTTTGAATTTAAGCTTTAGTTCCTTCACTTTCTGCTTAGCTAATGGGGAATGTAAACGAAATTGTACTAATTGGGGATGCCTGACGTTACTATAAAAAGATGAAGAAGCCAATTAAACCACGTTTTGTGATGAAAGATTGAAAGAGGAAGCTTATTTCTACCCCATATTTTCATCTTTGTCTTGACTCATTGGTTCCTGCTTGACCTCAGCTGCAATCACCACTGCCCATCGTTTTCCTCTTTCCACATTTCAACCCAATTGCGTTGAGCTTCTTCTAATCCCAGAACAGAACCTTTCTTCTACGGGTCCCAACTCGCAGACATAGTACCATAAGCAATCCCAAGAGTTGGTGCCCCAAAAGTTTTGAATGTAGTCAAGAATGGCAGCCATAGTAGCAAATCCCACAAATTTTGCTCTTTAGCTACGCCAAAAAGGTGTAGTAACGCGAGAACCGTGGCCAAAGGAATCCCCACAGAGACCAAAATTCTTGCTATCATCCGCTCAAACACTACCTGGGAACTTGCTCCTCGTCATTGTTATTTGTTATTGTTCTTGTTGGCAGCGTTTTCTTTCACGGTAGCTTGTGTGCTGGCAAATCCCTTGGCGTTAGCCTGCAGTTTTCATGTTGATATATATATATATATATATATATACATAAAGGAAAGAAAAAAAAAAAAAAAAAATATATATATATATATATATAAAGGAAAGAAAAAAAAAAGTTTTTTAAAGAAAAAGAAATGTTACATGTAATTTATGTTTAGATAGTTAAAATTAATAAAGAAAAAAAATAAAAGAAATTTCATCAACCATTATTTGGATAAATAATGAAAAGAAAAGAAAATAATTTATTATAATTTTTTTTAATTATAACATTTTTTTATAAAATAATATATAATATATAAATATATTTTTATACTATCTAGCTTGTATAAACAAATCTTTTTAAACAAAATTGAGTATTTTTAATATGATAAGATGTATTAATTAGTTGTTGATTTACTTTTAAGTTTGTGTTTAATTCAATCTTTTAATTTATTTTGACAATAATTTAACTTGTTTTGTTGTTAAAATTTGATAAATCATAAAATATTTATAATTATAATATTATATAAAATACTCATAAAACAATTATTTTTATATAAGGTGTCAATTATATAATTAAATCTAATGTAATAATAAAAATATGGTTATAATAATTTTTTTATAAAAATAAAAGTTTTTTAACTTTTTTTCCTTAGCTTTTTTTCTAAATTGAAGTATTAAAATGGTAAAGATTATAAGAAAAATCAAAAGTTATTGAATTTTTTCATATCTTTCTTTTTCTTTGAATTAAAAGTTTATATAAATAAAAAAAAATTTCTATTTTCATTACTTTCCTTTATTTTCTTTTATTTTCCTTCCTTTCCTTTCAATCCAAACATAGGGTTAAGAAGGATTGTTGGGTTCTAATTGGATCCCATAAAGAAGGTTTATCAAGGTAAAATTGCGGTGTTTCTAAAGAGAGTAGAGTCTTCATTGCTTATTATTAATTATAGCACTTATACTCTATGATTAAAATATTCAATTTTGGCCAAAAAAAAAAATTCTAACAAGAAGCATTGGATCGATAACATCAATTGGGTAATTGATCAGTATTATCTTAATCAAAATATTTAAATATATTAAACTTGTTGAGATCCAAAACATTCAATTGGAACGAGAAATTCCTATATATTAGTATATAAACATTTGCATGTTTATTTTCAGAAACTCGTATCATTGCAACCTAAGAACCATGTCTCAGCCTCTTGTATGATTCTTTTTGATGAAACCTGCTAGAATCAATTCGCAGAAAAATGGGTAAGTATGAAGCCGGACAAAGAACTTAATGCATTTTTTTAAGTTCCACATTATACCCGATGTGGGGATGGTGAGTATTGGGCCGTCCCTGAAAATCTTGATTGAGAATTTGGTATGGATTTCCCGCAGGAAGCACAGAGAGTTGGCATGGAGAGTGGTGACTGAACGTATGATGAAATTTTTGAACGAAGTGCTGGAGAATGGGGCTTTGAAGAAAGTGGACTTCCACGACATGATGAAATTGGGGATAGCGTAGGACTTCTCCAGTCAAGTTGAGATTCTGTTGCTGCTTTGGAAGATCTTAATGGCGATCTTCGTAAAGGTTGCATGTTGATTGTAATTCTAAAGGGAAGGCAATAAAAGAGTGATCTGAAAACAGCCCGGAAAATCATAATAGCAAGTTGATATGATCAAATGAAAGAAGCTTACTTCTTGTGAACATCAACGATTCAACATACTCGTCAGTTTCATCGAATATTTCCTCCTGCAAAAGCCAAAAGTTGGTTTTAGATACTATCTGCTTCTCCAATAGGTAATCCCGGGGATTAAATATACTAAGAAAAACCTGCAGCAGTTCCTCCATCCCATCCTCCAGTGTTATGATACCAAGAACCTGCTCATATAAATTCGGAAATGATTCCAAATCTTCGGTTTAGAGGGTTGTCTGTTCCCATTTCTTCATTCGCTGACGTACTTTAGTACTTTGCTCCATGTTTAAAGCTAGACTTTGAATATCAATGATGGTAGAATTTGTAGAGGGTGAGCTTGAAGGAATACCAAGTTGCTCATTTTGACCGTGTTGACCAATACCTGGAAAGAAGGTGATCATAATTACCATTATGATTTCCCTGTATATATCAGTCTTCATGATAGTAATTTCTGTATAATTACCATTACATGTGTGAAAGAAATTTACAAAAAAAAAAAAATCAGTTTCTCCTGATCTATATGAACTATGATCTTATATATATACCTTTCACCTCTATTTGAGTCAATTTAAGAATGAAGGTATAGAAGAGAGTGGTGGTAGAACTAGATTGTTATTAGAACTACTTTCTCCATAATCTTTAAAATATAGATTATTTCTCGATACAAAAATTTCATATGTTTTATTTTTTTATTAGAAGGAACATGTTTTGTAATACCTTCTTATAACAATCTAATAGATACTGACAGATTTCTAAAATTCATTAATTTTGATTTGATTTCTGAATAAAAAAGTTTAGGTTCAAATACTTCTATAATATTAGAATCTATTTCTTTAATAAATGTAAAAGTATGATTAGTAAATTCATTGATAGTTGTTTAGTTTATAGACGGCTCATGAGCCATATTTCTAATTTTTGACTTTTTTGTCATTATTCTAAGTCTAAGGCAATCTTCTATTAATAAGTCATTAGTTGAAATAAAATAGTTTTGGTCTTGCATTAAATCAAACAGCTCCTGAAACCAGATTTGATTGTATTCTTCCTATTTGTGCTTTAATAAGATTTTTAAATCTTTTATCTACTAACACTGCTATTATTAATATATGATTACCAACTTTGAATAATACTTTTATAGTTATCATAATTATTCCTAAATGTATATATTTAATTTCATGATATTTTTGTTTAATTCTCTTGATTTTTTCTTTTGTGAATAACGAAATATCTACATATCATTAATTAGAATCAGTTGCTATGGTATTTCCATTCAATTTTTCTATGTGTTTTTGTGTCCATGGTTTGAATTTTGAAAAGACAATCAGATTATATATTTCATCTTTCTTTAATGATTGTAGTATTTTTAACAGTTTATCTAAAATAGTAACATCTTATCCTAATATATCACTTAATTTAGTCATTTGTTGTTCTTCAGCAGGTATATTTTTAGTTTCAAAATTAAGTTGATTATTAACTTATGATATAAAATTATTTCTAGAATTGAGCATGAAAATATACTCATCATCTTAATCAAAATATGTTGCAGAAATTAATTCATAAATAATTTATTCTTCAAAAACTTCTTCTCCACAATAAATTTTTAAATCTCGTTCTTCGATAATTTTAATAATTTTTTTAGCACTTTTTTCTTTATAGGACATTAAGGTGTTATATGACCTTCTTTATTACAAATGAAACATTTGGATTTCCTTTTAAAAGTTTTTTTCTAACAAATTTTTTCTTTTGTCAAATTTATGCTTTTAAACTTTCATTTGACCGGTTTATATCTTTTTTTTTTTTTTTTTTTCTTAGAATAGGTTTTAGATTAAGATTTATGTCTAAATTCTCATTCATTTTCTAATATTTTTGTGTATTATTTATCACTTAATCTATTTTTAACTTGCTTAGCAGCGTTTGTTTTAAGGTAATGTTCTATAATTTGTTTAAAAGCAAAATAAATTCTATTTCCTATGAAATCTAAATAATTTATATTTATAGTTATAGGATTATAAGGTTCTAAATATTTGAGATTTGTTTATTATAGAGTTCATCCCATGGTGATAGTAGTTTAAGTAAATATTATTCTTTCTAAAATTTTGAATGTGATTCATCCATTTTTTTGTATTCATGAATATATATTTTTTAAAATTCTTCTAAATATCTTATATCACATAATTTTATCTTGGTTAACACATAATTAGCTTCACTGTTTTAATTAGCTAGTTTCATTCTTCGACGAAATTCATTTTTTAATAGATTTGTAAGGTTTTTTTAACAAATCTGATATAGTTGTAATTTGATTTTAAAAAGTTCCTTTTTTAACTCTTTTTATTTTGGAGTTTTCCTATTTACACAAAAATTGCAAAACATCTCCTTGAAACGTTTCACAAAAATAATTTAAAAATTTTTCTTTAGACCAAGCATCTTTGTAGTTGTTTACTACAATAGTAATAGATTGTGCCCAAACTTCTAAATGTCTTATATCACATAATTTTATCTTGGTTAACACATAACTAACTTCACTATTTTGATCAGTTGGTTCCATTCTTTTACAAAATTTATTTTTTAGTAGATTTGTAAGTTTTTTTAACAAAGCTGTTATAGTTGTAGTTTGATTTAAAAAAGTTCCTTTTTGAACTTTTATTACTTCGGCGTTTTCCCATTTATGCAAAAATTATAAAATATCTTCTTGAAATGTTCCACAAGAAT